ATTGATTGATTGATTGATGGATTGATGGATTGATGGATTGATGGATTGATGGATTGATTTGATTGATGGATTGATGGATTGATGGATTGATTTGATTGATTGATTGATTGATTGATTGATTGATTGATTGATTGATTGATTGATTGATTGATTGACTGATTGTCTGATTGATTGATTGATTGATTGATTGATTGATTGATTGATGGATTGGTTGGTTGGTTGGTTTGATTGATTGATTGATTGATTGATTGATTGAATGGTTGATTGATTGAATGAATGATTGAGTGATCGCTTACTTGGTTGGTTGGTTGATTTGATTGATGGATTGATTGATTGGTGGATGGAGGGATGGATGGATGGATGGATGGATGGACGGATTGATGGATGGATTGATGGATTGGATTGATGGATTGGTTGGTTGGCTGGCTGGTTGGTTGGTTAGTTGGTTGGTTGCTTGGCTAGTTGATTGTTGCGTGACTGATTGATTGATTGATTTGATTGATTGCTTGATTGATTGATTGATTGATTGATTGATTGATTGATTGATTGATTGATTGATTGATTGATTGATTGATTGATTGATTGAAGTATTGACTTGGTTGACTTGACTTGACTTGATTTCGTTGCATTTCATTTTGTTTTGTTTAATAGCATGTCGTGCATTTCGTTGGAGTGTTTCTGTTTTGGTTGATGTGATCTGATTAGTTGAGAGATTGGCTTTGACCTGAGTAGATTTCATTTGTTCTGGTTTGTTTGACGTAGTTTCAAATCAATTTGTTTGCTTAAACTGATTTGTCTGATGTGATTTAATTGGTTTGATTGATAATTTTGCTACGCGTTGCTCTGTTTTGCCTGCTTGCCTTGCTTTTTGTGTGTTTGTTTGTTTGCTTGCTTGCTCCGTCCGTTTGTTAGTTGGTTCGTTCTTCGTTGTCTGCCTGCCTGCCTGCGTGCCTGTTTGCCTGCCTGCCTGCCTGCCTGCGTGCCTGCATGTTCGTCTCTTCCATGCACCTTTCTGGTGCTGGATGAGAACCTCTGGGGTCTGACAGGTCGGTGGATGGAGTAGACTACGTAGGCCTAGTGTGGCTATTAATTTCTAAGTTGCCTCAACAAGTGTTCGTGGACAAAACAACCGGCAAGTTTTGCTTTCCCAATGTGTAAACAGCCACACTGCCTTTAACGGATCGATATCCGCCTGCCTTCACATGGGTTCTCCAAAATTACGGAAGCCCCGACATGGTTTCCTCTTCGTTTTTCCCCAAACAGTCTACTGTGGGGTTCTTACCCTTCTAGAAAAGAACGAGCCGCATGCTGCCAGATAGCTGGGCTGCATTCTCTCCAGTGTACGCATTTACTTGTCTCCCAATATGTACCTTCATTTGTCTCCCAGTGCTGCCAGATCGCGGGCCGCCTGCTCGCCAGTGTGCGCATTTAGTTGTCCTCCAGGATGTGCCTTCATTTGCTTTGCAGTGCTGCCAGATGGCCGGGCCGCGTGCTTGCCAGTGTGCGAATTTACTTGTCTCCAAGTATGTTCTCCCAGTATTGTCTCCCTCATTTGTCCGCACTGCGTTCTTACAATCTGTTTGGGGTCCACGCTGGTATAATCCTTTTCTTGGTGGCTTCCAGTAGGTTTTTAGGGCTTAGCGGTTTCCATTTCACCCACCAAGAGTAATTCGCTTTTGGCAGGGGATCTGAAAACGGACAGCCCGGTCTTGCGAATAACAAGAATCCTTGCCAGGAGCTGGACAAGACGGCGGTCTCACAGCCTGCCATCTTCGTGGCTTCCATGGTGCGCCGGTTTCCGCGTTGAAAAACGGGTATGTGTTTGAAGTGAGGGGATCCCCTTTGTTGGTTAGTGTTAAAAGGGAACCAGAAGGAAAGCTGTTTTGGGGGGAGACCCTTTTTCCATATCAAAGATCATCGTCACTGAACTTTGACCTCAGGTTTTGTTCTGCTAGAATGTTAGAATTGATTGTTCATGGCCATGCCATTGTTTCCTGAATTTGGGCTATGCCTGCTTCTTTTGGGACAAGTTGGGCCACTTCTTTCCAGATGCCTGAGCAGATCGCTGACAGTTCTGGCTGGAACACACTGTCCATACCGGCCTCCGCAAAGGAAAAACCCGGGTTACCATTAAAGGGTCTGCCGAACCCCTTTTACTTTGGGGTCTACCAAAAGGGTCCAAACCACATGACCGCATGCTCTTCGAAACGAAGCAAGCCAGTGGCCCCGAACGCCACGCGCGGCTCGCGCCGACCGGCTCGTTCGCCGGTCAGGCTGCGGTGGAGAAGCTGCGGTTGCAGGAGGGCGGCGAAGAGGCGATCGAGGATGCGACAGTCGCCTGGGTGGCCAAGGGACGACCGTGGGTGGGGAATGGCTGGGGTGCCGGGTTGGGGTGGGGTTACAAGGGCCCAAGAGAATAGCCGCTCAAAACCACCCGTGCCATCAAGCAATCTGTCCGGGTCCGAAGTCCAAGGTGCGAGGCTGGAGGTCTAAGGCGGTT